ATTTCTATGTATATTATAGGCATGTATACCAACTTATATATTATATATAGCCTAAGTGAGTGAGCGTATATATATATATATATATATTTATATTATATATAAAATGAATCATATAAAATCCAGCAATCGTGTTGACGTATCTGTCCAGAGACAAACAAAAGGGCTATAACGTGATCAATTATGCATAGAGAAGAGAACGGCGCATTAGCCAAGCCCAACAGCCATGACTGATCGTCTGCAATCCACTGAGCTGTATCCAATTCAAACACAATTATTCAACAGGTCCTGCAATGTAACACTATGAACAACAATGACTAACATTTAAAATAATAGTACTTTAACGTAGACTATTACTTTATATACAAGAGGAAAGTTTGCTGTAAAACATATTATTTTTACGTATTCTAGATATAAATGTATATAAAATGTTAACATTATTCTATTGTTTACTCATGCACCTGGTCTAATCACACGGTTCGAGTTATGCATTTAAATGCCGAGTCACATAAATTTAAGTGTCGTTCCGCTTATCATTTGATTATGTAGAATATATAATATATACATATATATATATACCTTATATATTATTTATTTCTTTATTAATTTATAAATATTTACCTTACAAAAAGATAGGATAATTAATTATTTTATAGTTTTAAAAAATCATGCGTGCTTTTTTTTCAATGTTAAAAACACATAGAACATTACATAATAATATGCATTTTGTATAAGGCCTACAATTGTTTTTTGTCTGCTGCTACACTCATCTATGAGGTAACTTAGACCTATGTCTACAGTACGATATATATTCCAAATATACAATGTAAATATACACAAGAATAAACCGATGTGATAATACTATAATGTATGCATTTTCGATGATTAAACAGAAATAACCTTATTTATTCTTTTTTTTTTTGTGAATTGAATACCAAAAATGAGAATCTTATCTTATCAATCGCAGTTATTTTGCAAAGTGGTGATTTTGTAGTTTTGGTATCAAAAGCGTTTTGTCCCTTTAATCTAAATTTCTATTTTCTGCGTGCAGTTTGACAATCATCAATGTAAATACCGACAGTGTATGCCCCATTATTATTGCCGTCCATCGCTAAAGAATCTGTTCATCATCTCTTTCAAAATCCACAGTTTCAAACAAGTACCGTAACTCGTAAAATAAGTGTCGGTAGCGGTGTAACTGATATTATTGTGTAATTGATGCAACCATGGCTGTCATCTACCTGTACATTTAGTTAAAATGACTGGCGTCTCAATTGATTGTTTATTTCTCGAGTTTTTATTTTTTTAAATGTTTCTGTATCGGACGCGACCGTGTTTAAAGTTGAACATATCTTAATTTTATTATGATTATGACCTAGTGAATATTCAATTCTTAAATTTATAGACTAAAAATATAACAAATGGATAAATAATAATTACCCGAACTAAGAAATTAATATACAACATGAGGCCTATGAGAATAAACACGGTAATATTATTGATATGCTAATAAACATTAATATTTAAATTATCCCAATAGCTTTGATGATGGGGATAAGAATTATGCTTAAATTTACTGTCATTTATGAATCTGCAGTATAAACGCTAACACTTAAGCACTTCGGCCTAGTTGTTTTTTCTTAAACCATGTGATCAGTTGTATAAGGATATTTTATAATTTTAGTCCCCTTTGCTGTTTCTCTTTGGTGCATGGAACATTTCCTGGTAGTACAACACAGCCAGAGCTGTACAAATCGCATTTTTTATGTTACTTATTTTTTAACAAAAATTCGCTCTAAAATCTACATTCTTTTATTTTTTTATTTTACCATAGTGTCTAAAATATCCATATTGATGAAATAATGTATAGGTAAGGAAACTACTTCGTGATGGTGATGTATTATTATGGTTATACTTGTTACGAATGCATTGAGTGTCACCAAGGAGTGCAACGTCGCTGTGAAATGTTTATGTTTCCGCTAACAATGAATTTATGAAAAATATACTGTTTGCGTTATTGTTCAATTATTAGTTAACCAGAGGCAAGAGCGACCGACAAATTATCTTCATTAAATGAACATTTTCTATAAGGAGGGAGTTTTATCAATTGGAGATAATCGTTAGTGAGAAGACGCGCACAGTTTAAGCCAATTTGACAATGCAACTGCTGAATGAAGAACAAGCGAGAATTGATCGGAAGCACGAACTCATTCCCACAGTACACGCTTAGGACAAGACTTGCAGCAGCATAAATATACAATATGATGAGATAAAACAAAGACGAGGTGCAATATGTCGATTGAAGAGATGATGATGATGACGACCAAGCAACAGTGAAGACGAATTCTGTTAATCTATACTAGGCAACCAACTCATTTTATTGCTCTCGAACTCTAATTATATGCTGGGAACTGGCTATATGCTGGGTTATAGTGATATATCATAGAATAAATTATCAAACTGTTGATCATTCTTGGTAACTTGTTGCATCTATTGAATGTGTAACGTTGCAGACTATATAGAGACGATATATATATATATATATATATATATATATATATATATAATAGTCTATGTATGTGTATGATACAAGATGTTATTTTTTTTTTAAATGATAAATTACATTTAAAAAAATCAAGAGGGCAAATAAGGACTGAAAAATATATTGAATGTTACTTGGCGGCAGTATACTCGTTATGTTATACAGACATATTTGTCGCAAATTATCTCTATAATTCCCATATTAAATTTAATTATTTAAAAAAAGTGGAATGGAAATTATTACTATGATGAGTAACACGCTTGTCAATTGAAACTTCAGCATTGATAGTTGAAAATAATGAATTCAACAAACCATTGTTATCGCTATTGTGAACTCGCCTTTTGTCAGCATTATCGACCAAACAATATTCAACAAATGAAATAAGAACCACACAATGGTCTATATTAATCAAGGAATCCCCTCTACTCGCACACATTCACAACAACATACTCACTTCTATACGGAGAAATGCAATTTTATTTGTAAATTTAGCTATTAAAACTTTATAGATAACATTTAAAACAACAAAATAAAAAGTATTAGATTAACATTATTTGTTGTTCAATTTATTCTCACGGTTTGAAACTGAAATTCGTCAAAAAGTGAAAAAAGGTGATAAATGTGCCTATATATACAAAAGAAACAAAATGTTGTGATAGTCACAATAAACATATTACAAGAAAATTAATTACAAACGTGCTATTCAGCCTTTCTCAATCGAGAGAACGAAAAATTCAAATATATTTAACATTAATAATATACAACTTGGTTAAGAATATCTTCAAAAGGTTTAGATTAAATAATATTGGGTTATTTACCAGTTTACCCTAACCTAATACCTGCAAGGTGTTAGACACTTCTTGGAAAATAAAATTAATAATTAAACTAAATATATCTGAGTACCGAGCTTTTGCGTAGGTTACCAAAGTTAAGAGCAGTCTTGGTATATTTATATTTCAAACTACCAGTATTACTGGATCTGTACATAATTATAAAACATCAAACCATCTGCTCAAAATAGGCTCATTTTTTTAAACAATTAACAAGTATAAAAACTACCTTTTTCTTTGAAACACTATATTACTTTACAATTATCTATATGATCACCAATGGTGGTAGGCAAACTTGGTAAATACTCGAGCCGCAGCCACCGGGCTGTCAAATATAGATTATGTGATGATATCTGCGTCCAAAGTTCAACCTTTTGTCCATAACAGCCATGTTTTTACACAGTTATAGTACAAAATATTGCCTGCAAAACTCTCATATAAAAATGTCATTGAATCAATGTCTCTATGCTTACATATGTGTTAAGGGTACAGACTGCGTCCCGACTCCCGGTGAGGCTGATGTTGCAACTTGGTGGTGGTATTGTGCGGCGGCTGCTTGTAAGGCCTGCTGTCTCTGACCATCGGCAACTTCTCCCGCCGGTAAGTACATGCTTATCATGTCGCGAAGATCTCCGGGGCAATTTCTACCCCCTGAAGCATTTATTGAATGGGCTGAGTGTGCAGGTGGAGGCCTATCTGACATACTCACGGCTTCCGTCTTGACTCCTGACGCTACAGCTCCAACATGTTGTGTCGTTTGCGCATAGTGGCCAGGCACGGTAGTGTAAGCGTATGCTGAAGCAACTGAGGGGTGCGTTGCCGATGTCATAGGGGGATAAAGTTGGCTCATATCACGATATGCATGAAGTCCTGTACCATTTGCATTAGCCATTTGTGGATGTCCACTTAAACTTTGTGTGTGATAAGGATGGTGTAATTGTTCTTGCATCATTGCTGTGTAACCCCCTACGCCATTCATAGCTGCGTATCCATTCAGATGGTACCCTTGCATAGCCTCAACTCCCCGCTGTACTTGTCCTGGTCCACCAGGGGCCAACATACCTGGTAAAGCATACTTGTCCTTTTTCAACAGGGTTTTGGTTTTCCTCCTTGGTCGGTATTTGTAGTCGGGGTGTTCCTTCATGTGTAACGCACGTAATCGTTTTGCTTCATCAATAAACGGCCTTTTCTCAGATTCTGAAAGGAGTTTCCATTCAGCGCCTAAGCGTTTGCTTATTTCAGAGTTGTGCATTTTAGGGTTCTCTTGCGCCATTTTCCTCCTCTGTCCCCGTGACCATACCATAAATGCATTCATTGGTCTCTTTACTCTGTCGGCTGATGATCCTTTACCTCCCTGCATCATTGCGTTGCCCTGACTGCCTGGTGTTGTCGGTGTTGTTGGTGTCGTAGGCATAGAATGTGCCGATACTGGCGGCGTAGCTGTCACAGCAACAGGCGGGCTGGAGTGTTGATGCATCATAACTCCATTTGAATTAGCATGAACATGTGCAAGTGGTGCAGGCGGTAACTCAGTCTGTGGAACGTGTGCCATTCTGCTATTCAATTGTTTTGCAAAGTTCGGTCTCAGAAGAATAGAAAACTAATGTTCAGTTGTTCCTCTCTCTTCGAAGTTAAAAAGTCTAACTGGATCCTTTCAATGAGAGCAAGCTGTCTATAGGTGTTGTACCGCCAACAACTCTCGTTATTTTTAGCCCCTATCAGCTCGTACCGTCCATGTGTTATTGATCTTTGGTGAGTAAATTATTCATATTCTGACCAATCAAATTGCGTGTTACAGTCAGCGACGATGTATAGCTCGCCCCAATGTCATTCGTAGTTCCGCAGCCCGTATCTCTTTGCTAATTGGCTGTCTTGTTCTGTTTAACGCATTCAGGAGGGCGTAACCTCCTACCGATCCATTGTTCTACAAACAATAGCAGCTGTTCTACAGCCAATCGTCTTCTTCGTTGGATAGTCTTCGTCTCCATTTTGAAAGACGAGCAAGCAGAACTGTATCGACGTCGGTGTAGATCAAACGAACAGGCATCTGCAGGTGTTTGCTTGGCTTGGAGTTTGAGTGGCATCAAAATCACGTGCCAATCAAGCCATGAGTCTAACTCATTCCCTTTTGTGTGGCAGTAGTTGTCCGGGCAACAGTACACGAGAAATATATTACGATTCTTTTTAAATATTTTATATTTCTTATGAAAAAAAAAAAATCTGAAACTAATGATTTCAGTGCTGACTACACAACCATATCAAAATAGACAATTAAACAAGTTACAAGTCGATTTTATGTTGAACAAAATTCGAATAAGATACAATATCTGTGCGTGTCGCTCCTCTAATTACACCTTAATGTATTTTATTATTTTTAACGAAATTATATGTATTTACTCGTTTATATATTTACTAAAAAATATATACCCAATGTAATGATAGGCCTATTTGTAAGGTATTTAGGCCTATCTTTTGAAACTTTTTAGAGAACGTACTACTGGCTTAAAATAACTTTAAAATATTTTGTTCATTTCGTCACTTGTCACAAAAAGAAAAAAAATATATAATACGTTATATGTACTAAGCAAAACAATACATGGGCCTATATAATAGAATCACCTAACAAAAATAGGACAACATTTTACGTTTCGGAAGCAGGAAATATGATATAGACTACTTTCATTTGACAATAAAAAAACACTATACATTTGTCTTTTTGGGGAAGGGTGAAAAGAAACGGACGAAATATTGCCAGAAGTCATGTTTCCTCTTATAAGAGTATTTACAGATCCTATAAGGTCGGCAAGAATCTGCGATGGTTTTAATGTCACTGTTACTATTTATTTACGTTTGTTTGCAAATTATGAATGAATAGAGGGATGAAGTTGATGAAAGAATTCGCTCTGTTAACCACTATTTAGAGTAAGCGTGCGCGTAAGAGTCCGTTTTCAATGCCAATTCTATTTTTTGCTCTACTACACAAAACGTAGTGTTTTCATCTCCCTACAATAGCCTTGTCTACACAGACTACAGCTTTTATTATTATGGTATACTATTGATCCGAACACTACTACAGTATTCATGGAGATGTTGAGTGGGTAACGTTTCATTTAAAGGGTGTTTCCCGTGTTATTGAAAAGGTGGTTCTCTGTATACATACATTGGGGATTCCTTGTTCGTGTTGCCGCGCGATATCTGTATCGCGGACAGATCTGATGCGGTGGTACTATATACACCTTATGCTATAAGCATCAACAACACAGCCTACGTTGCCTATTTAAATTTTCTTACCGTCATCCCTATATTTTATCTCAAAACATATTATTTCTACGGCGAATGCAGCACTGTGCAATGAATATTCATCAGTTAACATGTATTGACGATAATGATTATTTTTCTTTTTCAGAGATATTCTCAACCAACAACAACAGTTCTTTCAGAACTATCTACGTGGGGTACCGCAAGAATTAATATTTATTATTTTTTCTTTTATTATAGATACTTTCCCCACTGACGCAATAAGCCATATATGCAAATAATAATTAATATACAGCACTGTCTCAATGAATATGCATCAGTATACTTATGGGTATGCATTGTTAATATATACTTTTCTTATTCTTTCCATTTAAATCAAATCATTGTTTAAAATCATATAGATAGCTCCTTTAATGTAATGATACAGGTCGTACATTTTTTTTTTCTAAAACAAGTCTCTTTAATTTTCAACGGCTTTTTTTTATATTTTTTATGTCTCCCTGGCAATAGTTGTTTTCCAGGAAATAATTAAAATCATTTAACTCTTCATTTGCTAACGTCAGATTTAAAACCATTTACCCAAATTCACTTTCATTACGAACTACTTAATCGCTTCTGATCATAAGCCTGGAATGAGTCGAATTACCGTCTTGAGATGATGGTCGTTTTCTCGGCTTATATCCTTTGAATTATCTCTCATTCATCACCGGTCTTAACTTGTTGCCTGGATCTAATCAAGCCTATTGTTTTAGTCCGATCGGATTTCGATACAATACAATATATTGTGCAGCTGTAATGACAGGCAACGATGCGCATCGATTTGTTCTAACGCGTCACACACCCAATTTGCACTCAAACCCTTATTTGCATAATTAGGGAGACAGTGCAATGCGGGTCAAGTGTGAATAACATATTCGGGCGCACAAAATTTGGCGGGAATGTTAATTACCTGTCTGCGGAAAAAAACTTAGTAGAGAAATTGTTTCAGACCAGCAGACGAATGTGAAATTAGTAGTCCGTGTATTTGAATTTACGATAGTGTAAATTATTTCTCTTCGTGGTCAATGAAATTCAAATAGTAATCAGTCTTCACCTTTTTAAAACAATCGTAACAGCAGACGATTGTTGTGATAGCGTTAGTGATACATGTATTTAGCCTAGAAATTCGTCAACGTAATCGAGAGGCGTCGACGGCGCTTATATAAGAAATACAACCCCTCAGTGTTGACAAACTCTAGTACATTCAACGAATTAAAAAAAAAATCATCGCGTGCAACGATCGAAAGTGACAGGGAACTTGGAGACGTATTTTTAAAATCTCTATTAAAGAAACATTTATATTCTTTAAGACAGAATTGTCGCGTGTGAATGGATGCTTCAATTTATACATTTTAACTAAAATACAATGACAATAACACGTATCATTTTCATCTAGACTACTATACAGAAATGTTAATAATAGAATATCTTATATAGCTCTATAAAATGAAACGGTTCAGAAGCCAGGTCCGCTGTCTGGTGGCCTAATTAAATTTCTCAAAATAGGCGTATACCATGGGTGTTCTCCTTGTTTCTACCAACATGGGCGTATCGAGGTAATGTATAAGTATGGGCAGACACGGAAAGCCTTCACGGATACAGCAACCCTTTGTTTTATCTAATTATCGTGCTTGTGTCAAAGTTCTGAGCAGCCAAACGATAAAATATCTTTAATGTTTGCTTTTATTCATGCTCTTAGCTTCAATCTCTTCTTATCTATCATACGGTATACTGTTATGTCAATATATTCCAGTAATCATTGATATATTTTTTCTCATTGTTTTACCATGAAGGTATACAGTAAAATTATTTTATAACTATATTACTTGCTGTTAACGGGAAACTATGTTTTATTGTTAAACACAGTAAAAGAAAAGTATGACATATTTTTTTATAATTTTATTTGCAAATGAATGCCTTATTTTTCAATCTAGCCAAAACAGTCTCAAAAATGAAAAATAAGATTATTTGATCTTTGTAATCTAGAGGTCAAAGGCTAGAAATTGATGCAAAAATTGAATAACAAATGGCAAAGATATGATAATTTATATTTTCGGTCCAACAAGGGAAATTCAGCTGATTTCAAGATTTTAGTTTTTGAAGACAAGGGCCTGGTTTTGCCATATTAGGCCCATAATAATGTTTTAAGTAGGCTTAAAATTGACTGATATTGTACTAATTGTTTTCTATTAGTTTTTGTTTTTTACCCGTGATATTTTTGTATGCGTAAAAACTGTTTGCCTCTGAGACGGTATTTTTGGTCTTCATTTAAATACCGCTACATCTGAAGTTTGTGCGTTGAGTATATTTCATTGGTTCCTGCGTTTCAACTATACTACAGATCAGAAAACAATTGAATTGTAACTGTTCCGTGCTACAGATAGACAAGTGTAACTTCAATCCGATCTAACTGTTCTATATTTTTTTTATTTCTTTCGTTCTTTCTTTAGATTTATCGTTATGAATTACCACCCTAGACAGATTAGGCTTATGTTAACTTTACCAAAGAACTGTTAAATATTCGCATGAGGACACTTTTAATGATATTTAATAATTGATATTCGTTTGTTTGATAATTATGATGTAGGATATTATTTAACTATATAATTGCTTAAGTTAAAAAATATTTTCTATTTATATGTTTGTCAGCCAATTACTTTGCTGCAGATTTCTTTTTAACTTTTTAAAATCTTTTTCGAGTTCAAATCGTGTGTGAATCGTCTTCTTTTTTATATTACAGTATAGGCCTATGCCTATATAATGGCTAAATGACCTTGTCTGGGTGAATAAATTAAAAATCGTACTACTGGTATCTTTACCTCGAATTGCCCATGTCATACGACTACCCCTGGTACACCCCTTGCCATTAGGCCTACTGTCATTGTTAAAAAGAAAACACTTTATACAGCTGATGGTATTCTTGCTTGTATGGTGATCGGCAAGTTTCTGACACACGTTATAGTTTAAGCTTTGTATTTCGTATTGCACTTTTTTTTTCCAAAACAATTGAAAGAGGTCAGGATGACTCTAGAAGACATCGATGAATAGCATAAATGCAGAAAATTATTTAAAGGTGCTGTCCGTCATTAGCTAAAAAATGAAATTTGAACATCTTAACTTGTGTACTGAAGTAAGCTATTAAGTTACAGTTTGAAGAGTTAAAGGAGAACAAATTTCCCCGTCAACTTAATGTAATTTGATTTATATATATAGCGCTTTATACTAAATTCTCAAAGCGCTCGGGTGTGGAGTGGCTTACACTTAAGTAATACATTTGTATCATTTGCGTAGAACTTTAAATTGGCTAGTGATCAGTGGATTTTTTTTTGTAAATTGTCTACAAATCAGCGAAAACAGGTTTTGCTTTTATCTGTTTTTGGTTGGAAGTTATTAACTTATTTTGATGACCTAGGCCTATGCCTATTCAGGACTTTGAATTTTAAAGGTATTCCTAAAATTTTAGGCAAACAGTTTTTTTTAATACAAAAGCCAGGCCTATGTACAATCAGTAACTTAAATACCGGGAACTGCAAATCTGATTCGTGATCTCTAATAATATTAGTTAGTTTATTGAGTTGTTAGACTCATTTTTATATCAATGAAATAAAGATGCAGTAAAACTGTGTCGTTTGTTGGCGGCGCTTACCACATGCCTGTCATACGCAGGTACATGTGCCGTGGTGAAACCAGCAGATTTATCATCAGAACAAAAGAAATTTATCACAATTTGACATTTATGATATTTTCGAGAATAGTAATTCGGTATCATTAGTATTAAATAAACAAGACAGAAAATGCAAAAAAAAAAAAAAAAATAAAAAAAAAACCATGATGACAAAAAAAATAATAATAATGATAATGACGCGTAAAAATAATGAATCTGAACGCAGTCTTGTACATGAATAAATAAACATAAGCCTAGTTTGTATACGTATCTTTAATTTAAAACTGATGGTATAGGTCCACATGTCCCAGCGATGACATCAGATTATTGGAAAAACAGGGTGAAATAAGGTAATAGGCCTATACGCCTAAATCACATTACAAAGTTGTCAGGCATAATGGCAAAAAGTCTCTTTTCTGAAACGACATACGTAATGTTTACGTTAGCCTACATGACCACTAGCATCTCATGTCACAAAGGAAGGCAATGATGCGTTTTACCAAATACATTCATGTAACGCAACATTACGTTACATAAATATATTCTGATAACGCAATATTGCGTTACGTAAATATTGCCAAGCACACTGTAAGACAGTTATGTTGTGATCGTATTCGTCTGTCGTAAGGATAGTTTTTCAGTTTTACCATAACATCTTTTAATTTAGCCTATTTCAGAACAAAATATATTAATGTAAAACAAAAAAAAAAAGGATTTTTTTTTCTCTATTGCTTTCAACATTAGAAAAATCATAACAACATAATATAGTATAATGCAATATTACAATAAAAAAATCTCATCTTTCAAGTAAACAAAAATTACCATTACAGAATCCATAGCCAATATATCCATGTAATATAAAATAAAATAAAATAAAAATAAAATTACAAACAGAAAGAATCATCTTTCTAAATATAAAAATTAATTTACCAGTTTCCTTAGCAGTTCTTTATCTTAAAGCTA